AAGTACCCGTAGGAAATCTACTCTTCCTTAAGTGTATCATCACCAAATCTCCGACTTGAAATTCCTTTGGCCGCCTCTTTTTATCCGCTGCTTCTTTATGCTTGGCAGTTGTCCTGGCAATGTGGTTGCGAACCTCCTGATGGAGCTCCATTATCATGTCAGCCATTTCTTCAGCCTCCAAACTGAGATCAACAGATGTAGGCAGATTAGTGAGATCTAAAGTTAGCCTAGGAAGCTTAGTATATACAATCTCGAACGGGGACTTCCCTGTTGTTCTATTCTTCATGTGGTTATACGCGAACTGGGCTTGAGCCAAAGAAATATCCCATTGTTTAGGATGGTCCCCACTTATGCACCGAATGAGGTTGCCTAATGACCGGTATGTGACTTCCGTTTGTCCATCCGTCTGAGGATGGCTTGTTGTACTGAATTTTAAGGATGTATCAAACTTTTTCCATAGTGTACGCCAAAAGTGGCTTAAAAACTTAACGTCCCGATCCGAGACTATTGATTTTGGTATACCATGAAGCCGTACGATGTCTTTAAAGAATAGGGTAGCAATAGCTACCGCATATGATGTTTTCTTGCAGGCCACAAACTGTGCCATTTTGCTAAAGCGGTCCACCACCACCATTACCGAATCATAGCCTCGTTGTGTTCGGGGAAGTCCCAATATAAAATCCATTGACAGATCTTCCCAGATACTTTCTGGTATGGGTAACGGTGTGTAAAGACCGGTGTTTTGTGTAGCGCCCTTATATGATTGGCATGTGAAGCACTTCTTAACATAATTGGCCACATCCTTTCGAATGTGAGGCCAATAAAATCGTGCTGTTATGATGTCCAGTGTCTTATCACGGCCTAGGTGTCCGGCGAGACCTCCAGCATGAGCGTCATGTAGAATTGCTTCCCGAAGCGATGTATGAGAGACACAAAGGGTGTTCCCTTTAAAGAGATATCCCTCCACAATATGAAAATCTTCGACAGCCAAGTGGTTAATGCATTTATGCCAAATATCTTGGAAATCTTGGTCTTTCTCATAGAGATCAGGTAAGTAATCAAACGCAATAATCTCTCCT